CTAATGTTAGAATAGTCTGATTTTGGGAGATCTGATTAAGACTAGAATCTAAGACAAGACTGAATTTTCTAATGTCTGGATAAGATAAAATTAAATAAGGGAAATACCTGGATACTACATGTAAAGTAATGCTTTTAGTTATGCTTCCAATCTTAAGGGGGATTGATACATTAGCCATGCTAGTGGTAGATCCTGCAGCTGTAGTGATAATCTTCACATCCGATTGGTATTGAAAGTATCTGGATAAAGTATCTAATAGTCCTTGGGATATAAGGCTGATGGAACTTCCTGTATCAATGAGAGCAGGCATCGTCTTGTTCTCCACCGAAACAGTCAGTACTAGTCAAGATGGTGAAGTTGGTTCTGATTTATTTGCTTCCGATACCATGTGTACATCTCTGTGAGTAGGAGCTGAATATCTTTGGGGACAGTCTCTTCTCCAGTGCTGGGCTGGTAATCCCTGCTGATAACAAAAACGGCAAGGCGATGGCGGTGTGCTCATGTGATGTGCCAAATTTCTGTACTGGGGTTGACCCCTTGGTGGAATCCAAGATGGCGTGCGATGTTCCAAATTTCTGTACTGGCGTTGATCTCGTGGGGGAATCCAAGATGGCGTCGTTTTCTTTGTGTGCGGCCATGACAGTACCTGGTTTTTGGCAAAGTGTTGAGATCCTGTGTAATTTTCTCGATTCGGTTTAGTTGCTGGATGATTTTCTTTCTGGGTTTTCGGAGGATGATCTGCTTCTTCTTGAATTTTCATTAACTTGGTAGCCTTCTGAAGCCATTCGACAGCTGTGGTTGGCGGTGCGGCTATCATATATTTTCTAATTTCTGAGTTTATGCCGGCATTGAGGCCTGTAATGGTCTGTTGCATGTTTAACTTAGCTTTTTCCGCCAAGGAGGTTTTGTCTCTGTAGTAAGTTAAGATGTCTTCTTCTCGCTGGTGTCGTCGATTTACAAACTCGGTGAAGTAATCATCTTCTTCCTGTGGAAAGTACTCGAGTAATTTTTGTTTAATTTTGTTCCAATCTGTTTCCTCTACTAAATTTTCACAAAAATAGTCGAAAGCTTCATGCTGTAAATACTCATGGTATGTAAAAGTGAAGCTCTTGCTCATCAATCTTTTGTCTCGCCGCTTGCTTCTCAAACAGTCTCATCCACAAAGTCAAACTTAGCTTTCCACGTGGGTTAAATGGTATAAGATTTAGTTTAGGAGAGGTAGAACTACCTGTTTCTGGGATGGATTTGTCTCTAGATTTACTCATGGCTGGTACTAAGGTAATCCTGTCAACTCTTATAAATTGTATTATTTTGCAGTCGTAGTCGTAAGGTCGAGTGTAGGTTGAACAAGACAAAGAAAATTGGAGACCATAAAATAACACGTCCGTTCACTTTCGGNAAGTTATTTTTAAGTTATTGTTACATTATGTTATGTAAGTTAAGTTTTAGTATCATTTCCCTTCTCCATCTCTTCCGCCACCAGTTTACACCTCCACCATCGTCTATCCTCAAAGGTAAAGTGCAAATAAAACTACATTTTTTTTTTTATCAATTATTACTCTATTATGGTTATTTACACATTTACAACTGCAAAATGCATTTTTCAGTGTTTTCCTTACTATAGTTAATTTTTTTAATGTACTATTTAGCTTTAATTTGAGTGTGTTTTTCGTGTTGAAACAAATTATTTGGTTTTACATGTAATCGTATGGGGGAAAATGATTCACCTTACGACATTTTCATGATACGATCTCAGTTTCGAAACAGATTAATTTCATATCCTGAGGTACCACTGTATGTATATATGTATATATATATGTCATATTATTTTGCGGTCGTAGTTGTAAGGTCAAGTGTAGGTTGAACAAGACAAAGAAAATTGGAGACCATAAATAACACGTTCGTTCACTTTCGGGTCCTCACTCGAACTCCCTTTATTTTATTGGTGCTGTTAACCTTATTCCAAAAGGGACAAGATTAACAAAGTAACATACAGAAAATATATACAAAATTTACAAAAATTTTAAATATGTTAAATGCTCCCCTCCTGAAAAGGCGACATCATGGAGCCTCAGGGAGGTTGGGCTGGGTGTTATACAATTTATCGGCTTGAACTCTAAAGTTGGTTGGATTATAATACGGTATAATTTTATCTACATTTACAATATCGGTTAATTTATTTAATGATTGGACAGGTCTGTCTATTTCTACGTTACAAGGAGATACTATTTTTAATATGGTGAAAGGTCCATGATACTTTGGAGCAAGTTTTCCTTGGTCGGGATGGAAGAAGGTTTGTAGTAATATTTGATCTCCTACTTTGAAGTTTGGAGTTTGATGTTGACTATTATATTTATCTCTGTTTCTTTCGTGAGCTAATTCAGTTCTTTCGGTGGCAATCTTACGTGCTTCGCTGAGAGAGGGATAATTCAAGTTGTGAGGTGAATCGGGGATTTCTCCGTACATCAAAAACATTGGAGGGAATCCTGTTATAGTATGGGGTGTTTGGTTGTATTCTTTCACAACGTCACGTAACATTTGAGTCCAGGATCGTTTTGGATTTTCTGAATATTTTATTCTTAGTCTAGAGACGAGTGTGGCGTTTAGTCTCTCAACTATCCCGTTGTGCTGTGGTCGCTGAGTACTTGTTAGATGTTGTTTGATTCCATTCCGTTCTAAATATCTTCTGAATCTAGAGGAAGTAAATGAAGGTGCTCTATCTGTTAGTAGACGTTTTGGGCTGCCTGTTTGTAATATTTTGCCTAGACAATCTATGTAGGCGTTTATAGAAGTAGATTTGGAAGGGAAACACCAAGCAAACCTAGAAAAATGATCGATGACGACATGAAGGTAGCCTTTAGTAGATCCGTATCTTTGCATTCCAGAGACAGTGTCCATAGATAACATGTCAAATGGAGCTTTTGATGAAGGTAAGTCACCTAACAAGCCAAACTTTTTATGGTTGTATGTCTTTGCTTTCTGACAAACATCACAATGTTTAACAAACTCTACAACATCGTTGATGACATTCGGCCAATAGTAACGTGGACTGATTAGTTTCAGCATCTGTGTTATACCTGGGTGACCATAGTGTGCATGTGCCCTGGATAGCACCTTGTACTGAAGCGATGGAGGTATGACTTTCTTTATAAATCCCTTCTTTCTGATACAGATTACATCTTCATGATCTCGGAAGAACTTGGGTGAGGTGAGTAATGCGTTATCCTGGTTGGAAAGGACTTCCTCAGTGGTAACAAAATGGCTCACGGGGGCTCTGGATAAATAATCAGCTTCTATATTCTGGCTTCCCTTCTGATGTTTAATGTCATACTGATACATGCTCAGTTTCAAAGACCATCTAAATAACCTTCCAGATGGGTTTTTTATACTTTTCAGCCACTGTAAAGCTTGATGATCGGTGTGTATGGTAAAATAGATATCATGAAGATAAAAGTGAAACTTTTCAATAGATGCTACAATTGCAAGGCATTCTCTCTCACTAATGGTGTATCTTTTCTCATACTCACGTAAGGACCTGGAGAAATAGGCAATAGGAAGTAATCCTTTAACAGGATGTTCCTGTTTCAAGATACTCCCTATACCATCTCCGCTAGCATCTGTATAAAGATGTGTAGGAAGCAAAGGGTTATACATATTTAAGATGGGTCTGGTGATAAGTGCTCGTTTTAATTTCTCAAAAGATTCTTGACATTCAGTCGTCCAAACCCAATTTTGATTTTTCTTTAGAAGCTTATTTAGAGGGGCTCTTAAATTTGCATAATTTGGAATAAATCGATGGTAATGGTTTATGGACCCTAAAAAGCCCTGTAATTGTTTGATATTAGTTGGACATTTTAACTTTTGTATAGTTTCTATATTTGATAATGAGGGGGAGTAACTTTCTGGTTTGATGTTGAACCCAAGATAATTAATCTCAGATCTAACAAACTGACATTTTTTAAGATTTAAGTAGAGACCTTCCCTTGAACATAATTCAAATACTTGTGTTAAATGTTTTAGGTGTTCATCCACGTTCTGACTAAAAATTAACAAGTCATCAAAATAATTGATGAGAAAAGGAAATCTATATTTATTTAGGATATTTTTTAAAACTAGCTGAAAAATCTGGGGTGATGTTTTTAGGCCAAATGGTAAACGATTCCACTGGAAGTGACCAGAATTCGTTACAAAAGCAGTTAGTTCTTTGTCTTCAGGATGGAGAGGAACCTGCCAATAGGCTGACAGAATATCTACAGTAGAAAATATTTTCGCACCTATAAGTCTATCTAGCAGCTCATCTATTCTGGGAATAGGTTCATTGTTAATTTTAATCTTCTCGTTTAACTTCCTATAATCCATACATAGTCTAGTTTTTCCCTCGTCTCTTTTCTTAGCTAATGTGACTGGGGCAGCGTACGGGGACGACGATGGTTCAATTAATCCCGATTTTAGTAATAGTTCCACCTGTCTATCAATCTCTTCTCTATCACGGTAAGATGCTCTGTAAGGTTTGAGAGTTATGGGCCTTTCGTCCTTAAGTAATATCCTAGGGGAAGCTATTTTTAGGGCTGGCACTGAAAACTTCTCAGCAGAAAAAACTTCCCGAAATCCTAAAATAATGCTCTTTAGCTTCTGTTTCTGTTCATCCTTCAGATTAGGGTTAACAACATTCCTCATGTTAAAAATATTTAGCAGAGATTCCTTTAAGGAAGTAGAACTATCCCTACCCCTACAAGTTTCTGCTGCATTCTGAGCTAAAGGAGGTGGGAAGACAAGGTTAGGAGCCTGGAGGGGTCTCCCTCTGATCTATCTTATATAAGCTATTACTATTGTTACTTATGCTATTACAAGAATGATTAATATCTCTACTATAGTGACTATTTGTGGAACTAGATTGATTTGAATGTACTTCAAAAGTAATAGGATCTAATGTTAGAATAGTCTGATTTTGGGAGATCTGATTAAGACTAGAATCTATGACAAGACTGAATTTCCTAATGTCTGGATAAGATAAAACTAAATAAGGGAAATAGCTGGATACTACATGTAAAGTAATGCTTTTTGTTAGGCTTCCAATCTTAAGGGGGATTGATACATTAGCCATGCTAGTGGTAGATCCTGCAGCTGTAGTGATAATCTTCACATCCGATTGGTATTGAAAGTATCTGGATAAAGTATCTAATAGTCCTTGGGATATAAGGCTGATGGAACTTCCTGTATCAATGAGAGCAGGCATCGTCTTGTTCTCCACCGAAACAGTCAGTACTAGTCAAGATGGTGAAGTTGGTTCTGATTTATTTGCTTCCGATACCATGTGTACATCTCTGTGAGTAGGAGCTGAATATCTTTGGGGACAGTCTCTTCTCCAGTGCTGGGCTGGTAATCCCTGCTGATAACAAAAACGGCAAGGCGATGGCGGTGTGCTCATGTGATGTGCCAAATTTCTGTACTGGGGTTGACCCCTTGGTGGAATCCAAGATGGCGTGCGATGTTCCAAATTTCTGTACTGGGGTTGATCTCGTGGTGGAATCCAAGATGGCGTCGTTTTCTTTGTGTGCAGCCATGACAGTATTTGGTTTTTGGCAAAGTGTTGAGATCCTGTGTAATTTTCTCGATTTGGTTTAGTTGCTGGATGATTTTCTTTCTGGGTTTTCGGAGGATGATCTGCTTCTTCTTGAATTTTTATTAACTTAGTAGCCTTCTGAAGCCATTCGACAGCGGTGGTTGGCGGTGCGGCTATCATATATTTTCTAATTTCTGAGTTTATGCCGGCATTGAGGCCTGNGGATGATCTGCTTCTTCTTGAATTTTTATTAACTTAGTAGCCTTCTGAAGCCATTCGACAGCGGTGGTTGGCAGTGCGGCTATCATATATTTTCTAATTTCTGAGTTTATGCCGGCATTGAGGCCTGTAATGGTCTGTTGCATGTTTAACTTAGCTTTTTCCGCCAAGGAGGTTTTGTCTCTGTAGTAAGTTAAGATATCTTCATCTTGCTGGTGTCGCCGATTTACAAACTCGGTGAAGTAATCATCTTCTTCCTGTGGAAAGTATTCGAGTAATTTTTGTTTAATTTTGTTCCAATCTGTTTCCTCTACTAAATTTTCACAAAAATAGTCGAAAGCTTCATGCTGTAAATACTCTGGTATGTAAAAGTGAAGCTCCTGTTCGTCAATCTTTTGTCTCGCCGCTTGCTTCTCAAACAGTCTCATCCACGAAGTCAAACTTAGCTTTCCACGTGGGTTAAACGGTATAAGATTTAGTTTAGGAGAGGTAGAACTACCTGTTTCTGGGATGGATTTGTCTCTAGATTTACTCATGGCTGGTACTAAGGTAATCCTGTCGACTCTTATAAATTGTCGTATTATTTTGCAGTCGTAGTCGTAAGGTCGAGTGTAGGTTGAACAAGACAAAGAAAATTGGAGACCATAAATAACACGTTCGTTCACTTTCGGGTCCTCACTCGAACTCCCTTTATTTTATTGGTGCTGTTAACCTTATTCCAAAAGGGACAAGATTAACAAAGTAACATACAGAAAATATATACAAAATTTACAAAAATTTTAAATATGTTATATATATATATATATATAAATAAATAAATAAATACACATATACACAAACACATACATATATAAAAGTACGCATATATTTTTAAGAAGATACAGTAATTATCCTTAATTTTTTAAACTTGCATAACTATTAAATATATATGAAATATACAGGGTGTCCCAGAAATCTTTCCATGATTACAAACATGCAGAAGGCAGAAAATATGACACACAAACACATATCTTTTATCTTGAATTGCAGGTAACATATTCAAGTTTTTGTGTGTACATACATACTCACTGTTACTTTGTTTGTTACAGAACAATCACAGCCAATACCTATCTTGATATGTTGCAGTTATTTGTTGTGCCACAGATTCAGGACATTCCATACTTAATTTTCCAACAAGATGGTGTGCCACCTCACTGAGGATTAGATGTTTGTGCCTATTTGCATTCAGCATTTCCAAGAAGATGGATCGTGCATGGTGGTCTCATCAACTGGCCTCTGCAATCACTGGACATAACACCACTGGATGTCTTCCTTTGGGGTTATGTTAAGGACCAGGTTTACCAAACACCAGTGAATGACATCACAGCATTACAGCGCAGAATTACTGACGTCATAACATCCATCCCTCATGATATTGTTGACCAACACATGGGTGGAATTGGAATATCGCGTGGATATCCTTTGAGCAACAAAAGGAGCACATGTCGAAATTTATTAATATGTATGTATATATTACACACAAAAACTTGAATACGTTACCTGCAATTCAAAACAAAAGATCCTCATCAAAAGATTCTTTTGATCCCCACCTCACGGGATCAAAAGAATAAAAATGCTATTCAGTGACAAAGTGAGTGGTTTCCACCAAACCGTTGCTGGGAAAAGAGGTAGTCGGAGGTACAACCTTGTCCTATCTCCGACTACCTACAAAGGATTTGGTGACAGACTGTCGCCTCTCTGTCAACATCGGCTTCTCAGGTGTTGTTTCAACCTCCACCAAAGCTTATCTGTGCTTGTCTACATACACCGGTGATTGTTCGAATCTATAATAATATAACCAAATATTCAGTCTTTCACCAATGCATTTTGCATGTTTCAACATTCACTGGAGAATATCAACATTCTCTAATTTTGGTCTTTCACAGTAACATATACATAAAAGAATTTAAAGTTCAATGTGAAATTTTGAGTACTAAAACACTAAGAAACATTACTTAAGTCAAAATAAATTTATAATAAATTTTTAAACAAACTCTGTTTAAAAGTTTAGTTATTCAAAACTGATTGACTGAATAATTTAGCTACATTACTAGCTGAATATCTAATATTAATCAGTCACTAGTTATTAAATCTTTAACAATAGTTATTTGATTTTTAAAAATCTAGCAACAAGTTACTTAATTTTTCTGATAACATTTTAAACTGCATTTGGTGCCATCTGTTATGATATTTTATTTAAAAACCTTTTAATATTTTTAATTATTATAAAATGATAAAAAGCTTAATTTTAAGGGTAAGAATGAATTTTATAAAAAAAAATTGTAAATGCCAATAATGAGTACAATTTTCATTAAGTCCAACCTTACTTCAGATATGACACACGACCACACTCTATCTTCCCACCTCTTGACCATTACCACCAAAATTTAATAGCATCAATCCCGTAATACACAAACCTCCCTACAAAATTTCAGAAATTTTCAATAAAAAGCACAGGAATAATTGAGCTTCAAAGTGGGTGAACAAAATCATGCTACCCATAAGCACATAAAAAACTCCCTAATTGTTTTGCATTTCTCAAAATTTCAAAGACCCAAGCTCAAAAATGTAAAAATCCTGGGGGGTCATTTTTTTACTGATCACCATACTTTTCCTCTGTTATATATAACAGAGCCAGGAAAGTAACGCACAACATTTTCTTAAGTAAAAGCCTAGTTATACTTACTGGTTTAACTATTCCTCTCAGACTTTTTTCAACAGTTAGAAAAATTTCATCAAATAAAATATTTCCACAGATTTTATCCTATTAAAAAATATTTAAAATATGTTAGCAAATGAATATTTAAATTATCAGAAATTTTTTATAAAATTTTTAATTATTAATTAATATAAATAATTAACAAAACTATTAATATTAATAAACACAAAATTCTTTTGTTTAAATTTTCTAGTTGATTAATGAAATTTATAAATATTAATAAATATTAAATCTAGATCAAATGCTAGCTAAAGCATATTTGTAATTTTCAATAAAAACAAATGTTTTTTATTAATATAGTGACTATAGCTAATTTCAAATTGAGTCATATAAGTAGAATGGAAAACAGAATGTAAAAATAAATTTTTGAAGCATAAAACTTAAATGAAACAATAATTTACAATGATATATAGAGTGATGAGAATTGACTGCACAACAATCATACAACATAATTCCTTGTCGAACATGAATAACTCCTGAAACAGTGTTATCCATTTTTCAATTTGATGAGATACTCCAGAGATATTCATGTTAAATGGTTTATGACATTACTTCCAGTCATTCAAATTTTAGCCATAAAAACACTAAACAAAGTATCCTATAGGCATCCCTATGGTGGTCTATCACATCGCCCACTAGATCACCCAATCTAAATCCCACAGACTTTTCTTATGGGGGCATCTCAAAGCACTTGTTTACAGATGACCAGTAGATTCTCAGCAAGACCTTATAGCTGCCATGCATAATACCTGCCTTGTTGCAAAGTGTACAAAGAAATATTATTCAGCAGGCAGCCACTTGTTCCACACCAAGCAAAGGTCATTTTGAATATCTTTTATAAAATAATGTAACCAGTTATGCTACAAGTTAATAAATAACTTCTTTCTATAAGATTTATTTCTGATTTTGCTCTTCATACCAGAAATTATCTCATAAACCTATGATACAAATATTGCTGTAATTTCATATCCAATTGAAAAATGAAAAACACTTCTTTTTGGGTTGGTCTTTGATAAGAAATCATAAGAAATCATGTGGTATGATTATTGTGCAGTCAATTCTGATCACCCTAAATATATATATCATTTAAATATGTGAATAGTGGGGACTAAATAAAATAAAAAATCAAGACATATTTACATATTATACATAAAATATATATCTGTTAACAAAAACTTTTAAACTGTAAAAATATTTTTCTACTGAATGACATTTATTAATCTCTATTGAATCCTACCTAGAGAGATATTTCATGATCATCATCATCATCAGGTCTTGTGCAAAGTACAGTACATTGTGCAGCAAGTTCCTTCAAGTGAATGCAGTTATTCACTATGCTCTCAGCATCATTGAAAGAACTGCTGACAACTTTTAAATTCTCCTTAAATATTTGAAACCAAGTTTTTTGAGAGTAACCTTGCTTCCTTTTTCTACTGGGAGTCCAATAGAAAAAAAAAGCAAGTATCCACTGTAATGCAGTTTATCGCAGATATCCACTGTAATGCAGTTTTGGATGTCGATGGTTTGGCGTATGTGGCATATGCTCAGCAAAATGCATCTGGTGTTCAGTCACAGTTTCCAACAGATATCGGATATTTTGAGTTTGATCTTTTTAAAATTCTTAATTTGTGACATGATCTTCATATCACATGCCAAGTATTTTCCTTTGGCAGTGTTGTGAAAAACATTTAGCCATTTGATTACCTTGGATGTGAATTTCCACATTTCACAGGCATATTTTGCAGTTGGTATCACAATGCTCTTGAACAGTTTAATTTTAATCTTCATAGCAATGTTTATAGCTGTTGTTGATAAATTGATTGCATTCATTGAAAAATGGCTAATGCCACTCCAATTCTACAACAAACATCCTCATTTGTGCCTCTGTCAGTAGGCACAATGCTTTCATGGTAAATGAAGTGTTGTACTTGGTCTATAACTCAGCCCTGGACCGTTAAAGATGTGTTATTCTAGAATCTACCACTCTGCATTTGTTTATCAACACTTATAGGTAAGCCAATCTTACTGCCTTCAGTATCTAAACTAGTGGTTGTAGTGTAAGGAGACAAAGTCGTTACCTTACAAACTTAAAGGTTTTATTTGTGTCTAAAATGCACGACTGTTACAAATTCAAATGCAGCAAGAAACAGTGCTGCCAGTCCAAGAGACTAACAACTGTGGGAAGAAGTGTTGCCACACTGTGACACTACTACATTCCCCCCACTTACATTACATAACATAGTCCTTCAAATAACTGGGCTGACAGTGCTGTCTTGCAGGACGAGGCAACTTGATTACTTCCACCGGGGGTGAAAAAATATCTTTACTAATTGTCCTCACAAAGTGGAGGAGGCGTTGCCTAAACATCAGAGCTAGCTTGATTGGGAATCTGGGGTGTAATATTAGGAAAGATCATGCCATCTGTCAAGGATTCAGGCAAAAGTTTGCCTTGAGGCACAATGTGCATTAGGGACACTGTCGATATCAGGGTACTGAATGTGAGAATACTTGGGATTAGCCTCCAATAACTGGACTTCCTCAACTAGAGAGACATATTTATTGGTGCAGTTATGTGAACATAGTAGGACAAGTCCCGGTGATAGTAACCAAGTGGGAAGACTAAAACCTGTTCCCATCTTTCAGGGGTATCTGAAAAATCTCTAATGAGGCGTAGAATTTGTAGGAGAGACCAAACAGCATGTAATGCATCACCTAGTACATCTTCCCACTGATCAATACTTCAATTAGACAAGTGGAGAGCCAAGGAAATTGTCTTCCAAATAACATCTTTACAATGCTTGATGAGACCATTACCCTGGGGATTATAAGGGGTGGAGAAACTTGAAGCAACATCAACAGAGTTGATGAAGGAACGAAGTTCACATGATAAGAATGCAGCTCCTCTATCTGAATGTACATACAATGGGGCTCCAAAGATTGAAAATAGCTGATGTACTAATAGCACTGATAGCACTTAATAACAGTACTACTGCTAACATCTGGGCAAAATAATGCAAATGGGAATCTTGAACATTCATCTATTATTGTCAGAAGGTAACGGTTCCTCGATTTGGAAGGAAGAGGACCTTTAAAGTCCATGTCTAAACATTCGAAGAGAAACATGGTTTTAATAAGTGGTTTGAAGGTCCAAGAAATTTTGGTTTTAATTCTGCACAAGTGGGACAAGAAACAGTTAATTTTTTTATTTCCTCCAAAGAAAATAGCAAGTTTTTACTATGCACCCAATGATAAAAACAAGTTACTTCTGGGTGACAGAGAGTTGTGGAGGACAGAGAGTCTCTTCAAATCAGGAAGAGCACAACAAATTCTTGACAAAGCATCAGCAACAGTGTTCCGACTACCAGGACAGTAAATAATATCAAACTTGTAACATGACAATTTCAATCTCCACCTTAGAAGCTTATCATTCTTAATTTTACTACAGTAGAGCATCAATTATCCGAAAGTCAATTATCCAAAAGAATTCCAGTCGGCAAATTTAAATTTTCACTAGTGCTGTGGCGTTGCAATCTTTGGCTATATCTTGGGCTACTCAAATATTTTACGTTTTTGATACTAAATTAACTTTTGAAGTATTATTTTTTATTGTTTTTATATTTTTCAATATATTTATTTTGTTTGTACAAAATAAAAAAATAATTTTTAACGATACAATAGTCTTCGTTAGGCTTAACATTGATGAAAATTCAACGCAAAGTGAAACGCAATGGAGAAAAATTTCAACATCAGATACATTAAACTATTTTTTCGTACATAATCGGTTATCTGAAATATCAGTTATCCGAACAACCCGTCTCCAATTGAGTCGGATAATCGACGCTCTACTGTATTAGATTTAGAATGAAACATGAAAACTACAGAATGTTGGTCAGTATATAAATATTAGTCAAAATAATTATAACAACACACCTGAATTTTTGCCGAGCATAAAATTATTTTATGCTTGGCAAAAATTCAGGTGTGTTGTTATAATTAATTGCAATTGCTGAGAGAAAGGTGGACAGTATAGTCAAAATAGTCAATTAATGTAAAATGACATCCAATTAAAAAATGTCTCCACTTCTTTAATGCCTCAACTATAGCATATGCTTCCTTTATGCTAGAGTGTTTTCTCTCACTACTATTCAAGGATTGCAAAAAGAAAGCCACAGGTTTACTTGTGCAGGTTTACAATAGCAAAATCAAAAGCATCTGTTTCAACAACAAAAAGCACTTTGTCAATAACAGGAGTCGAACGAGATATTTCAGTTTTCAAATCTGAAAAGATCATGGCAGCCTCAGCTGGCAGTGGAAATGACTTACTCTGGGCTGGAGGTTGAATTTTCTCACTAAATCTTTTTATCCACTGAGCATAGAGGTCCAGCATTCCTACTGTTCAACAAAGAGATGTAATATCCATAGGGAGAGGTAATTCTAGCAAGGGCTTTGGATGTTCAGAATCTGGTTGTATAGCTCCACATGCATAGTATTCAACAAACCAAGACAACTAAATTTATACCTACATACCCCAACTATCCGTATGAACAATCAGTCTATTAAAGTACAGAAAACTATTAAGTATCTTGGCATCTGGCTGGACCACCGTCTCAGCTGGGATGACCATATAAGTACATAACTAACCGAACCAACCTCATTTTTCGGGCTTTCTCTCAGTTTGCACGTAAGAAGTGGGGTTTAAATTCTACTGCCCTCAGCATCATATATGATCACATATTCACTCCCACCATCACATATGCAAGTGGTAGCTGGGGCTGGGCTGCCAGAACGGTACATCCACATAGAAAGCTTATCTCATCCCAGCGCAAAGCATTGATCCTCATCTCTGGGGCCTACCACACTACGCTCAATGGGAGTCTGCAGATCCTTACCCAAAAACCACCCATTACTGACATTATCCAAGCCAGATATGAGCTTTGGCAGCTGAAAACTGGTCACGACATCTGCACTACTACTTGTAATATTCCAGCCGATAATTATGAGAAAATAAATCTGCTCAGTGATCTTACTCCCCCTTATATCTGCAACTACATCAGCAAAGACACGCCTATCAACCCTGATGTGGAGATCTATATGGATGGCTCTGGGCTAAATGGGAATATTGGCTGTGCCTTCGTTGTACATCAAGGACAGCATGAGATCCACCACCAGATTTACAGGCTCCACAATTTATGCAACGTCTTTCAGGCTGAGCTCAAAGCCATTCATATGGCAATTGGCTGGTCTGAACAGCATCTCGATAACCAACAGATAGTCATTTTCACAGATTGCCAGTCTGCCATTGCTCTCATCAACAGCAGACAGCTTCACACTATCACAACAGCAGTAAAAAATCTCACTTGCCTTTCCTCAAACAGTTATAGTATCAGCTGGGTCCGTGGGCACCAAGGCACTGCTGGAAACGAAAGAGCAGATCAACTGGCAAAGGATACCGCCAATGATAATACATTGGATTCCATATACAACATGCTCAGCCATAGCAAAATCAAAAGTCTTTGTATAATAATATTCTTCTCCGCTGGCAGAACTCTTGGGACAATAACCACAATAACCTAACCTACCAATTCATACCTAATACCAACAAGCACCACTGCCATACTTGGATTAATATCAATTCTCTCCTTACTCAGTTTATTACTGGCCACAGGAGATTTTCCAATTATCTCCATCGCTTTACGGGTAAATGTACTCCCCTTTGTGCCATCTGTAGGGAGGTGAATGGTCCCAACCACTATCTTTACAGATGCGTGTGCTTTGAAAGGGAACGTCTCGAAATTAAACTAATTGCACAGAAATTAAACATCTCCTGGCCATGTCAGCAACATGATCTCCTTAAACACAAGGATCTTTATACAGCTTTTTGTAACCTAGTGCTTGTTTATGAGCAAGTGGCACCCATCACCATGCATGAGTAGTTCCTCACCAGGCTTCATTCTTTTCATTACCTCCGCCACTGCTATGGACATCTGTAAATACTGTACATATGCCACCTAACTGCTACTGTTCTCAAAGTTGTAATGAAATGGCTCGTATTACTTCTCTTATGTATTGTATTCTATACTCAAATTGTATTTTACACACTATTATAATGCATCATTACTTTATTTGCTGTATTGTACTCAATTTTATGTATTTTATGTGCTTTTTCCTTCTATACTTATACACTTATGTTTTATTTTGCATTAACACTTGTAATATTGCATAGTGTCTGTACTTGTATAGCTTTCAAAATTCATCACTTTGTAATTCTGTATGTACCTTATACTGTTAACAAATTGTAATTAACTACATCATCATTGTATTTAACTACAACATCATTGCTATACCTGCATCACCATTGTATTTACTCTTGTATATTAGTCCAACCTACTTCTTGATATCTCTGTAATTCCTGTATTGTAAACAAGTTAACAACTACTGTATCTGGTTTTCATTCCCGGTAGTGCAATGCAGAGCCGGGCATGTACAAACTGTTGTATATAATAAAGATATTGACTGTATAGCTCCCCCTTCAATTAGGTAAGCCAATATACAAATAGATCTAGAAGAAAATGAACATTTCACTTTGTTGAGTGTTAAGTTATACTTAAGAACCATGTCCATAAAACGAGTAAGATTACGATCATGTTCTTCCTGAGTTCTTCCACAGACAGTAACATCATCCAAATAAGCAAATGTGTCAACTAAGCCTTCTGTAGCAATTGACTGAGAAATAGAACATTGAAATCCATCAACACCATTTGTGAGATCAAAACTAATTTCCTTAAACTGCCACAATTTGTTACAAGCTTCAAACGATGTATAATGTCTGTCTTCTTTTGGAAAGGGAATTTGATGGTAGGCTCAATGCAAATCTATCGTACTGAAAACTTTATAAGATGATATTTTCTAAATCAAGTCATCAATTCTAAGGAGAAGGAATGCATCTAATTCAGTAAACTTATTAATAGTGTGAGAGTAGTCTATAACTAATCTTTTCTTTAGACCAGGTATAATCACCACCTGAGCCCTCCATGTTGAATTGTTTTCTTCAATTATACCCTCAGTCATCAATATCTTAATTTCTGCATCAATGAAATCCTGATCTGGTTTAGAGAACCACCTAGATTTAGTAGTGATAGGCCTTGTGTCTTTAGACAAATGTTTGAAGAGATGGGCTGGTGGCACATTTGTGAACATTGTAGAACGAATCAACAATGATTTATGGGAGCAACCAAATTTGAAAGACATCAGTATGCAAAGCTAGGAAATCATGCCCTAAAATTACATCAGCAAGAAGACCAGATAAAACTGACAGCAAAACCTTTGAATAAGTATGGCTCTTTAAGTTAATAGAAACTACACATAAACCCCTCACAGTCGAACTTAAGGCATTCGGAGCCATAGAAACTTGAGCAAAATGCAGAATAATTCTGAGATGATGACACAATGCAAAATTATAATCTATAAAACTCTCGGAAATGCCAGTATCCACCAGTGCTTGAGTTAAGATGTTATTTAGCTGTTTATTAACTGTAGCTCTAGACAAAGGACTGTGAGCAACAGTTGCCAAGGCTATAGCAGCTGTAGTTGGCTTACTCCCTTTGCTTTTAAGATCCTAGAAAAGTGTCCCCTCTTTCTGCATTTGTTGCAATCTTCGTTTCTAGCAGGGCATTTGTTGCGAAGGTGCTTCATATAGCTGCAATAAGGACACCTACATTCGGTAGCAGCCAGAATGCGCAAGTGCAAATCATTATTTTCAGTATCATTTAAATTCTCATCCGCCAACTCCTTTGCATTGGAGATATGGATAGCACTTACTGTACTAGTTAGTATTAGAGACAAAAGTTTCAGACTGAACACAGGCAGATTCTAAAGCAAGGGCTTGCAATAAGGCATCTACAAGTTTTAAAGTATGACTTTCCAAAAGGTGCTGTTGTATCTGAGGTGATAATAATCCTGAAATAAAAGCATCATGTACATATTCACTTTTATACTCTTCAGCTGAGACAGAGGTAAAGTTGCAGTCCTTACTTAATGTTCTAAGATTCTGATAATACTGATCAATGGACTCACCGGGTTGTTGGCGACAATTAATTAGACAATGACAAGCAAAAATTACATTTATAGGTTTCTCATATAGGGCAGTCAAAGTCTTAATGGTATCCTCAAATCCAGAGCATTCTGATTTAAGAGTAAACTAAGAAACCAACAAAATTAACAAGAAGACTAAACTTCATCACATCGTCCTTTTCCATCAATGATACAAAGTTCTTAAAAGTTCAGTACCAATGGGACCACTGTTGAGAGGAACCATTGACATTTAGATTGACATTAAAATGTTCAGGTTTGACTAGGCTATCCATCCTAAGTAGTTATAGACACGAATAAATTGTAATGTAAAAAGACAAACTCATTACCTTAAGAAAGGTTTTATTCATGTCTAAAATGCATGACTGTTACAAATTCAAATGCAGCGAGAAACAGTGTTGCCAGTCCAAGAGACTAACAACTGTGGGGAGAATGTTGCCACACTGTGACACTACTACAGTGGTTATCTCTTGCAGACATATCCTATCTTACCAAGCAATTCAATATTGTCCCCAAAATCTAAATCTGTCAGATAAGCTGTTTCTCATGGAATAGGATTGTCTTTGCTCTTTGCATAATGAAATGCATGGCAAGGAGAAACAAGAACAGTGAGAGAGTGCATCTCTGTCTTACTCCTGTATTTTTGTTAAAGAAGCCCATGTTACCAGACTCCATCCACAAACAGCAGCTAAAATTGAGATACAGACTCCTGAAAATGTTATAAAACATTGAGGGTTGCCATACATCAGTGGTTCACAAAGTGAGTGCTACCATCTCCATGTAGGCACTGAATGGTAACTATAAGCAAGATTTGGGGTCACTGACAACCTTTCCCTTTCCTCTGTTAACCCCTTAACGCCCGACTGTTTTTAATTATGATGTAATCAAGCATAAAAAATACATTAAAAATACTTAAAACTGAAAAAAACGAAAGAAATGCATTAATTTTGAAGAAAAAGCTTCAAATTTTATTTTCCTTTGTCTCGCCTTTCTGTGAAATTTAACACCGATGAGTCATTGTTTACACAGCTGGATGACCTTGAACACAGCTGTAGTCCAATTTCCCGGGACATTCTCATATATGTCTCGGGAGGACAAAGGTTTAAAGTAGGGTGAATATGATCAACACGTATATTTTTAAATATTTTTAAAAAAGTAAGATTTTAATTGCGATTTCCGACCCCCCCTAATTAATTAAATTAATATATTAAAAAATCGATTAATTAAAAAACTATCGGAGGTCGTTTTTGACATCAGAAAGCAGCTTTAAATAACTTTACCAAAGTCAAATCCGTGCGCTACAACTTAGGAACCATGAAATAAATTTGATAAAAAACTCCCATTAAAAAACAATTAAGCCTTAATCGAGCCTTATCAAAGGCTCATTAAAATCGCAATAAAATTTTTTCGCACGGACAAAAAATTTTGAAAAAATTTGGGGACCTAAAAAACATTCCAAAAATTGAAAAAAAAAAATTTTTTTGTCAAAAGTGGCCTTAACTACCGAATTTTACGTAACGCTATGTAACCTTGACGAGTTATCTCGTCAATGGGGGTTAAACAGGTAAGAAAAACATTGTGTTTAATGGTTTCAGATATGGAGCACAATGTATGGTAAGTGTGGGGTCCATAGAAAAGTTTTTCTAAGAATGTTTCCATGCATTTCTCACACAAAGAAAAATGGGTTAGGAAGCATTAGGTATAAGTTTAAGGAATTTAAAGGACCAAGGGAGCCAAGGAACTAGTGGCTCAAAAAAGTTTGGGAATCACTGCTGCAGATCTATGTAACTGTGAGAACTGGGAGTTTGGGAACATTTTTTATAATTTATTATATAACTTTTCTTATAAAAAATACAATATCAATAATATTTTGTTTCATTTCAAAATTTTTTATTAAAAATTAAATTTTAAAAATACAATTATTAAAACGTTTAATAAAAAAATAAACTCACCACAGTTGCAACTGATGCACTAAGATCTACACAATAAACTAAACGATATTTTCTTGCAAAAAATGTAACAACAGATGATGATGTAATCATAAAATTATAGTTATGATTCTCATTAATATTCCAATTTTCAGGTGAATGTTTAGGTATAATAGATACAACATCAATTTCTCCAGTGCATTCAGACTAAAGAAAAATAAAGAAAAATTATATTTATGAAAATATGTAATTATTTACATATCTATAAAAAAACTTATGAGTAAAATATAAGTTGCCATGAGATTTCTTAGTAATTTTATTTAGTTACTGTTGAGAAAATCCAAACTATAAATAATTATATTATTAAAACATATTTAATTTTTTCACTACATTATCCTTTAAAAACAGAATCCATAGTCTCTAATACAAACTAATGCAAAAAACTGAATATATATCAGAGACTCCTTTAATTTCATAAATTGAAATTATATTTGTAAAATTAAAGGAGTCTGGTAAAACAACAATTTTTTGTTTGTGAAACATATTAAATAATGAAATGCTATCATCATATCATTAGTGATTGAGATATCAGTATCATTTATGCACTTGAATATATTAGAGAACAGGATGGTTGCTCCTATTGCTCTAACCAAACCAAGGGATGAGCCTGATTACAATTTATCTGAAGTAAACTCAAATTATTGATTCCTATTTCAAACAAAACCAATTTAATCATTTTATAATAAATGCAAATATTTGAATAATTTAATGAAATTATTTCACAAATCTGTTCAAAAACTAACTGGAATTACATGGTATCTGAGAAAGACATTTAGACTTGGTTGAAAACATTTGTTCTAAATAAATTTAAGTTGCTGGAATTTAAAAGGTTTAGTTGGTACTGTTATATTAGAATTACATACAATTCTTTTTTTTTTTTTCTTCCTTCTATCTATTGAATGACAAGAGAGCCTTTATTTCATATATATTATGGATCTGTTAATTCATAATGGTATAGACAAATGACAAAAATAAGAGATGACATATACAAATTACTGTCCATAAAAAATTCCTGAAATCCAACTTGGAGTTGAACTGTACTCCTCAGAGCAACTGAATGGTATTTTGGTCATTCATCTGACTCACACAACTTTCTAATAGGAGAAATCTAATCTAACCTATCTAAATATTGTCACTTACTATTATAAAATGTTTTGAATAATTTAAAATATAGCTGCCTTATTTAAAAAACATTAGCATCAGATTGATTTTCCAGTTCTTCAAGTTCTACTATCTAAAAACTTAAAAAAATTCATCAAAAAATGAGAGCATTAACTGAATAAACAAAAAAGAACATGTCTACTTATTACACTGATTAAAAATAATTACATAAATACATAAGATCATTTTTTCCTATAATATTTTTTTTTGTTTTCACTTTCAAAAGCAGAATGAAAATATTTTATCAACTACATCATTATAATTTTGTTACAGAAATAGGCCAAACTGAGTTGTTACATATCTAGAAACCTTTTCAGTGGTTTACCTTGAATTCTTACCTCTCAATATAATTTTCAGTGTATTGGTAGAATGTATTTTTGTATTCATTTAACATGCTACATTCATTTCATTTAAAAATTTAAAATTTTATCTAAAACTAGAATAATAGATAAAATTCAGAAAATTAAGAGATGAATACTAAATGAATGGTGAGTTATTCACACACCAGGATGATATACAAATAACACTTACGTAAAACCTGGTAACCAAAGTGGTTGCATACTAGGGTAGCTAACATTTTTGAGGCCCCTTCTGGGCTCCTCTTCTTCTTTTTGCACAATAGCCTGAAGAATAGCTCTGAAGGGGCCTCGAAAACATTAGCTACCCTAGTACGCAACCACTCTGGTTACCAGGTTTTATGTAAGTGTTATTTGAATGGTGAGTTAATAAATCAATTATTAACTCATTAGTACTTCTCTTTTTATTCTTAAAAATCTATCAACAAATACTTAACTATTTTCATATAAATAAAAGAGATTGATACTACAAAATGTGGAACAAATAAAACTTTCTATTATCAAATAAGAATCTGATCTAACTTGACTAATATCCTGTTTTAACATAATTTAAAAGGACTCAGGAGAAATCCAAATACGTTCGCTAATATTTTAATTCTGTCACTCAATGCACTGAATGCTAGTGAGGTTTTTGTGGTGTGTTTTATACTTTAATATAAATTAAACATTTCAGAGTACAAAATTTTAATTTTGTATATTTCTTTTAACTTTATTTTATATTAAAGTCAAAATTAAAATCCTGTATTAAACAATATATCCTATTAGTACATACTGTACATAGCAGTCAATATATTGTATAATTTTACTCTTTTTATGTTTTAAGATTTGATTGTTTTAAATACAGTAACCTATATTATATGATTCCTATAAACTTAAGAATTTTTTAATCAGATAATTAAAATTTTAAATTGGTACATCTTTCATTTTATTTATTTATATTTAAGAAAATTATTGTTAGAAATTAACAATTTTCTTCATTTTCAATTATTTATACATTTCTTTATAATTTTATATAAACATGTTTCAAATCAACAAATATAATCAAATTAAAAATTGCATCTTGTATTAAATTCAATGTAAAATTATGAAAGTTCTTATTAAAATTTAATTAATTAGAATTTTAATACTTACTAATGATTTCTTTGGTTTAACTTTAACTGATTTATTAAGGTGATCAAAGTACCATTGAGCTCTTATATTTCGAGATATTCTGTAATCTTTTTTCATTATAACGTATACATGATCTGCTTCTAAAATCATATTTTCTTCCTGTAATAACAATAATAATACTGTATATAAAAAATTTATGTAAATATTTTACTAAAAAGTACTCTCTTAAAACCAGGGCTGTGGAGTTGGTAAAAAAACACTCAACTCTGACTCCTGATAATTTTAGTAGGCCAACTCTGCCTCAGACTCCAGCAAAATTAAATACCAAGTCATTTTATGGGGACAGAGGCACTCATAGGGGAATACCCTACTCTAAACTCTGAAAGGAGCCTTGGGCGTTTACCAAAATACTATAAAAGTATTTTGGTATTAAAAATATTAAAAATGCTAACTATAAAAGTTAGCATATTAAAAATGCTAACTATAAAAGTTAGCATTTTTAATATTTTTAATACCAAAATACTTTTATAGTATTTTGGTAAACGCCCAAGGCTCCTTTCAGAGTTTAGAGTAGGGTATTCCCCTATGAGTGCCTCTGTCCCCATAAAATGACTTGGTATTTAATTTTGCTGGAGTCTGAGGCAGAGTTGGCCTACTAAAATTATCAGGAGTCAGAGTCAGAGTTGAGTTGAGTTAAATATTATATTAAAAATGCTAACTATAAAAGTTAGCATTTTTAATATAATATTTAACTTACATTAATATTTATTTGTATAAAAAATTAATTTTTAACAAATATTTAATAAGAGGAGATAGGGGCGATAAAATTCTACATCTACATTTATTCAACAGCATTTGCACTTCAATTTCACCTTCCAGAAGAGTTAATCCAACTAAAAAATGTGCGATCTAGCTAGCTATTTCAGCCCCTTGTTCAGAAAAGAAAAATATGTACTTGGATCAATTAGTCTGGCTCATTCAGAAAAGCAGAGTACTTATTTAGAGCAGGGATAATAAAGGAATGATTCAAAAATATTCAAATTCAATTGGGTCAAAATAACTTAACTACTAAACACAAATGCTACAAAGAATACTACATATTTAATAAATTAAACTGATGTATTTTGTATTTAAAATAAATGAATTATAAGAAAATATGAAAAGATTTTAAAAANTCTTATTAAAATTTAATTAATTAGAATTTTAATACTTACTAATGATTTCTTTGGTTTAACTTTAACTGATTTATTAAGGTGATCAAAGTACCATTGAGCTCTTATATTTCGAGATATTCTGTAATCTTTTTTCATTATAACGTATACATGATCTGCTTCTAAAATCATATTTTCTTCCTGTAATAACAATAATAATACTGTATATAAAAAATTTATGTAAATATTTTACTAAAAAGTACTCTCTTAAAACCAGGGCTGTGGAGTTGGTAAAAAAACACTCAACTCTGACTCCTGATAATTTTAGTAGGCCAACTCTGCCTCAGACTCCAGCAAAATTAAATACCAAGTCATTTTATGGGGACAGAGGCACTCATAGGGGAATACCCTACTCTAAACTCTGAAAGGAGCCTTGGGCGTTTACCAAAATACTATAAAAGTATTTTGGTATTAAAAATATTAAAAATGCTAACTATAAAAGTTAGCATATTAAAAATGCTAACTATAAAAGTTAGCATTTTTAATATTTTTAATACCAAAATACTTTTATAGTATTTTGGTAAACGCCCAAGGCTCCTTTCAGAGTTTAGAGTAGGGTATTCCCCTATGAGTGCCTCTGTCCCCATAAAATGACTTGGTATTTAATTTTGCTGGAGTCTGAGGCAGAGTTGGCCTACTAAAATTATCAGGAGTCAGAGTCAGAGTTGAGTTGAGTTAAATATTATATTAAAAATGCTAACTATAAAAGTTAGCATTTTTAATATAATATTTAACTTACATTAATATTTATTTGTATAAAAAATTAATTTTTAACAAATATTTAATAAGAGGAGATAGGGGCGATAAAATTCTACATCTACATTTATTCAACAGCATTTGCACTTCAATTTCACCTTCCAGAAGAGTTAATCCAACTAAAAAATGTGCGATCTAGCTAGCTATTTCAGCCCCTTGTTCAGAAAAGAAAAATATGTACTTGGATCAATTAGTCTGGCTCATTCAGAAAAGCAGAGTACTTATTTAGAGCAGGGATAATAAAGGAATGATTCAAAAATATTCAAATTCAATTGGGTCAAAATAACTTAACTACTAAACACAAATGCTACAAAGAATACTACATATTTAATAAATTAAACTGATGTATTTTGTATTTAAAATAAATGAATTATAAGAAAATATGAAAAGATTTTAAAAATTTAATAAATATATAGTAAATTTTCTTTCATTTTAAATTTCTTTCATTTTTCATTTCATTTCTTTTAAATAAAAAAACTAAAGTAAATTTAAAATGTGGGAATTGGAGTCAGAGTTGACACATTTTTTCCGACTCCAACTCCACAGCCCTGCTTAAAACTAAATTTATACATTTTATATTTCTAAACAATTTTCATATTAAACTTTTCAACCAGTGAAGTACTTATATATCACAATTTTAAATTACTAATAAAAATAAAAATTCTAATTAATAAATAGAAATAAAACATTTAAATTGATGGTATTTCAGAGAATGATCAGTACTGTCATTAGTAATAAAAATTTCAATATTGAAAATTGTTGCATAAATGTCATGTGAAGATAAAAATAACTATATACACTCTGAGTAAGAGAAGACAGAGAAATGTTATAAATCATACCTTTAAAAGTTTTATTTCTTATAAAACCAAATTGCATAAAATAAATTTTATTGTAATAAAAACTATTTAATAATCATTGATATAAATTATATTAAAGTCTTAATTATTTAAAATTATTTGTATGGAACATAATTTAATATAAATTATATAATTTACTGTTCTGTTTTTTTTCAACATATTCCATTAAATATAAATATACATGAAACATTTATAAATAAATAAACAAAATTCCATATAAAATATTACCTAGTCAAAAAAATTTGATGTTAAAATTTTCTTCTTCCATATACAGAAAATTCCTTAACTAAATGTCATAACAATAATCTAATCAAATTTAGATTCTGAATAAAGGGACATAGTTCATTGCATAATACACTGACTTTGATAAACAGAACTTTGATTATATTGACATCATTTTTTTTCTTCTTTAAAGTACAAAACAAAATTTTTGTATACATGAACATCATTTGAATCTAATTTGCTAATATAATTGTTTTGTAGCTATTAATCTCAAATGTTATTTCTAATATTATACATTATTAATTAGTTACAGATCATTTCCAAAGAAAACTAAGCAAACAATCCATAATTTAGTTTTATATTTCAAAAAAACTGTCCAATGTTTTTTTAAATAATAATGATAAATCAGAAAAGTCTGAATATTAGATAATAAATTTTATTCTATTAATCCATAAAAAATTTTTAAAAATATTTTTGTATTGTTCCATAACATAAAAATCCAAATCAACAGCTGAGAAAAACTGTCAAATTTCTATTATTTCTAATAAAAATAAACACTTTCATTTCTATTAGAAAAAAACATCTAATATAATATATATATTAATTCATTTTCATTTCTCGAACATCTAATTTTCATTGATTATTTTGACTATCACATTTTATTTTGTTACAGTATGGTAATTCAGTTGATAAATATATATATATATATATATATACATACACATACATATACATACATACATACATATATAATTGTGTATTTTCATACACAAGCATACAAAAACACCCACACATATGAATATTTTTTAAAAATAATATCAATATGAGCATTTAAAAGAATTTTAATAATTAACACTAATTAAAACTTGCACTTAAATATTTTAATATTTTTGTCACTGCCTTTGTCATCCTTTAAGGGTTTGCTTGCCTTAATTCACCTGTTTAAACTTTGTCTATGATTATATTTTAAACTACACTATCTACATTCTACTTTATTTAACATATAACAAGTTCCTCAACACTGACAGTACAATAAACAACGATAAATGCTCTTGTTTTACTCTTCAGATTGGGTGAAAAAGCTGACATTGCACATTCTCATCTATTATACTTTAAATTAAAATTTGTATTATTATAAGTAAGCAATCTACATCAAACTTGATCCTAATTATGTTTTTTAATTATATGAAATCAATGACTATCAGGAAATATTGTTTTAAAATTTAACTTATAATTTTTTGTACTTGACTCATATTCCTTATATCCATCAGTTGAAATGACTTAATATTTTAGGTCTAGTATGAACCCTGCTAAATGATATTCTCAATTTAAAATTAAATTAATGGGCAATAATTTAATTTTATTTGTAGTTAATATTTTAATGTTTACTTACTGATACCATCAAAGATTAATATCTATCATGTAGATATAAAGACTATTATAATAAACCAAACTTATGTTACTAGTAATAAATTTAATATAATTATCAGTTATATAAAAACATTTATACGAAATGGTCTAGAAACAATGGTATTAGCTAAAATATGATTATTTAGTTTCAAAAAACTACATATAAAGAAACATGTTCCTTACATATTTAATATTTCATGTAATCCTTTGTATATATTTAAAGTAGATTAGAAGTTTAGAAAATTCTGATATATATACAGTACAATCTCAGTAATCTGGCCATTTGCTAGTTCAACAAATCCAGTAATATGACACTAATCATCTCTCAGTTATTATCAGCATTGTTGCCAAGTCATAGACAAGCTTTTCACCAGTTCAAACTTTAGTTCCCACTAAATGTGGCATGATATTGAGCCCAAGCTTGAAAACTCAAGTTTAGGCACATGTAACAAAATACAGAAATTAGAGGGAATGTCAGAAAATAAATTCACATCTTAGAAATCAACATCAACATAAAGTTTATTGAAGCAAAAGTTTTTTCAAGCACAATATTAAAGTGTGTTAGGCTTGTCATCATAAATTGATCAAAAAAGTGCATCATCTTATAACACAATACAGTATAAATATAAAATCAGTTCTACAAAATTTTCCATCAAAAGATACCATACCTCCTACTAAATTTCCAGTGATTGCTTCAGT